GACAGTGTTCATTCTATGGTTCCGATTCCATCTAAGCTGGCTCATTTAGCAAAGCACTATAGCTACCAGGCTAGTTAGTGGTCTAGAGAGAGGCCCACCTGCCTATTGATTGGTTCACCCTGCTCTAAGCTCCTGAGTGCACTATCTCATTCTCTGTTACTCAGTGTGCAGGGAAGGGCACTGAGAGCCCAGCTGCGGTGAGCCTCCAGTCTGTCCTCGTGGCCTCCAGGTGGCCTGCCTGCAGGGCCCGTCTTATGAGGGGGACATAGAGTTCTGCTTCTCAGAGGTCCCCAAAGCATCCCCTAGGGTCCACCAGGACCAGCTGCCTGCTGTGTGATTGGATGACTTTGCCTCCCCTGGCCTCGGTTTTCCCAACAGTACATGGTTCCCATCTCTGCCATGAGGTACTGAGGTACTGATAATCATCTGGGATCCCCACTGTCTGCAGCTCTGGGCTCTGTATATATTCTCTCTCTCTCTCTCTCTCTCTCTCTCTCTCTCTCTCTCTCTCTCTCTCTCTCTGTCTGTCTCTCTCTGTCTCTCTCTCTGTCTCTCTCTCTGTCTCTCTCTCTCTGTCTCTCTCTCTCTCTCTCTCTCTCTGTCTCTCTGTCTCTGTCTCTCTCAGGACTGAGGACATGGCCCCAGGGGAGTTGCTGACACCCAGGCTTCTGGAAGGCTCTGTCACAAGGCTCCAGTTAGAACCTTGGAGGGGTGCCTTGCAGCCGAGAGTCCTGGGGACTTGATAGCCCAGGGGTACATGGTGAGGCGGGACCACCCTGGAAACCCATCTGTGAGAGCCAATGCCTGGCCTTCAGCAGCTCCCCTGGGGACGGAATGGATGACTAGCATGAGGTGCTGGGTTTTAGTCCTGTCTCTGTCCTGTCTGAATGAGTGGCCATGGGTAGATGAATAGGAAATCAGTGTGGAAGGTCACAGGAAACTATAGCTACTACAGACTTGGGACTGAGGATCACTCATACCCCACTGTGAGCGACTTAAAAGTCAACTCTTTTTTTTTTTTGAGAATCAAAGTATCAAAAAAAAAAATCAAGAGGCACCGAGCCAATGATATGGAAGAGTAGGGTTGTGACAATATTTTGATGTTGAGTGACCTTGAGCAAGTGGTTACACATGGGTTTGGAAAGTACCTCCCTCATGGTGCCCTGGGCGCCTCTGAAGGGCGGCTGGTGCATGCACCCTGTCTCCTACCATGTGGGAATGTGGGACGGAGTTGCTAGATCTTCCAAATTTTTCAGTAGAAGCCAAAAATATGGATTTTAAAATGTAAACTCTTCCAATTTTTAAATGTTGGCTCAAACATTTAAAAAGAGAGAGAGAGAGCGAACGAAAGAAAGAAACCTCAAACAGACCAAATACAACATGCTAGCAGGCCAGATTTAGCCTGGGAGGCCAGTTTGCAGGCACAGGCCTGGGTGACGAATGTAATGGGGTTGGAGGGGGATCCCTGTGAGCCCCGTAGCTCCCAAAAAGCCCAAGGATGCAGGGCCTCTGTACCCAAGAAGGATGGCTTGCCCCCTTCTTGGGACAGCGCCAAGCCAGGCTAACTTGCCAGGCAGCCTTGGATGGGCATTCTTCTTGCCCCCATCAGCTGAGGTTGCCATGGGGACCCCACAGCACAGACAGAGCCCTGGGGGTTGCCTGGGGATGCTAGATCCTGTCCTTAGCTCTCCCATGTCCCAGCCGTGGCGTAAAGATGACCTCTCCCTCGTAGAGACTCCGCATGGAGCCTGCAGGTACCCTCCTGAGTCCTGTGACTCTCTGTTGGCTACACCGACCAGCGTAGGGGTCTTAAGTGCCACCTGTGGTCTGACCACCCCCAGATCTGCATTTCCTGTCCCTGTTCCCCAACTCCAAGCGCCTATGTCTCCATCGATGCCTCCATTGACTGTGTGGGCAACTTGAGACCCTCTAGAGCAGAGTCCTGTTCTCTCTTCCCCACCCTCCAGCCAGTCTGCATCCAGGAGTCTTTCCACCTCTACCCGGTACCCACCCGGCCTGATGCAGGGGCCTCTGCTAGACTCCTGGAGTGCTGATTGTTCCCAGCTGGGGTACACACTACCCTTCTCCAGTAGTGGGTCTCGGCACCCAACTCGCGCTTGTTGAACAAATGCAGGAATGCCAGGAGCACGGGAGGAGTCTTCCCCAAATAGCCATATAAAGACTGCCTCTCTGGGGCAGGCACGCTCAGCCCCTCCCTTGGGGCCACCTGTCACTCAAAGCATCCCCCTCCCCCAGAGGATTGTTCTTCCTTCCTTCCTAGAGGAAGCCTGGGGCTCAGACAGGGAGATAGCCTTGCCTCAGGTCACATAACTGATGGAGGGATTCTCACATTGCAGTCAGTGAGGGGTAGGCCCTGCCCATCTCCCACGTTTTAGGCTGTTTCCTCAGCTCCTGTTAGGATGGACGTGAAGGAGAAATAGTCAAGGACAGAGAAGTGAGAATGAGCACAGGTCTCAGGGTAAGTTCGGAGCCCAGGCTTGATGCAGGCCCTCCCTCCTCCAACCTGACTTCCTCCTTTGAAGTGATTTTGGTATGTACCTCAGATGTGTGTGGAGCAGGTAATGTGAAGCCATTTCCATGTCTTCAATGGACAGAGCTATTTGCTGAGTACCCAGGGGCCCAGGCCTCCAGCTGGCAGAGGCAGGCTCCTGGGAGGGCCAGGGGTGGCCTGTGGCAGCAGGACTGGAGTAAAAGCACTTTCATTCACAGACCGTCCCTTACCTGTGTGTTAGAAGGCCCCCTTGCTCTGGCCACAGTGTCATAGTAGCCATTGAAGGGCATTCTGTGCAGCCTGGGAAGCTAGAGAAGGCATCAGCTGGACAGAAGTCTGAGCGTAGCATCCTAGAAGAACAAAGCTCCTGAGACAGAAAACTGGGTGGCCCAGTGGTGGCCTGTGTAGGGAGGGATAGGGTCTCTGCTAGGCAGGATTGAATGTTCCAACCCTCACCAAGGCACAGCCACCTACCTCCTCAAGGGAGTATGTGGGGTATGCAAGCCACCATGCCTAGGTGACACAGGGAGGGCGCCAAGTCAAAGCGAGCCTCTGGGCCTCTGGCCATTTTGCACTTGTTTCATGGGGATTTTCAGGAAATAAAGACAGAGGTGACAGGAAGAAGATGGTCCATCCTGGTCAGAAGGAGCCCCGTTTGGGGCTTAGGACATGTAATAAGGAGGGTGCTCAGGGCATTCCTGCGGGCCCTGCAGGAGTTGGCAGGTGCCTGAGAGAAAGGCATGTCCTCAAGCATGCTCAGGTGAAGGGGCTGGGAAGCAAAGGTCCCCTGGACCACGCTTCCCCAGGTTAGTGAAGAGGAGCACCAGTCCTGAACAGTACCAGGGCCCAGGAGGGCCAGCCTCAGGTTCCCAGTTCCCTGAAATTCCTTGTGTCTGGCTGCCCCTCCTCCACCAAATCAGGGTACTCTGGATGGCACCAGCAAAGACGTGGGCTTCTATCTGGCTGGAACTAAACACAGTAGCTACCCTGCATGCAGAATTGCTTGTGAAGGTAGACTGTAAAAGCCAGGGCCATGCTGACCCACCAGTCCTGGGAGAGAGGAGGATCAAAGTCGTGTGCCAGAATCAGGGACAGCCAAGGAAAGGGCAGGGGCTGCGATTCCATTGTCTCCTGCCCGGCCCAGCCCCCACCCTAGCCACTGAGCTGCCCATCGCCTCCCTTGCTTCTTTCCCAGTCCCCTGGGAGGTGGGGGGTTCCCAGACCAGCCTTCTAGAAGAGCTGAAATAGTCAATGTAAATAATTGATGCTAGCTTTTTAAAATGAAATTTTAATACATTCTTATTAATTCCAGACAAATGCCCTGGCAGGTCATTCACTGTGAGTGATTGAGGAGGCCGAAGCCAGATGAGGGATGGCCCTACCTTTGGGTAGAAGAGGCCTCTTGTGAATGGCGTCAGACCCTGAACAAGCACTGTCATGTCAGCTTGAGGGCCCAGCTCCCTGGTAGATCTAGGGCCCTGATGACTGGAAGGAGCTACTACCCTGGATCTGGGGCAGGTAGCTTTCCATAATATAAACCCCAGACTTGGAGTGGAGGTGCACCTCCAGATTGGCCCCTAGAGAGCCTGCTGGCCTCCTTTGCCCTCCTCCCGGGTGGTAGAATTCCCGTCAGCCACCGAATGAGTGGGGAGCCATTGGTGGATGGATGGGTAGAGGAACACTTGGATTGGGGGGGTTGGTTTCATCCCGGCTGGCTCTGACCCTGCCAGTGGACGGCTCCTCCCACCCTGCGCTGGCTAGAGGAGGCCAGGACTGCTGGGTGCTGGGTGTCCTGGGGAGATCCGGGGCTCTTGCGTAGAAACTCACAGCCAGCCTGGGGAAGGCTGGAGAAGCCATACTTCGGTGCCATAGGACCCAGGCATGCACTGTCCGTGTTTATTGAGTGCCTGCTATGTGCTGGGACCCAGTGCGAGAGATGAATGCTGTGATGGGGACTCGGAAAGGTGGGCCTGGGAAAGAGGGTCGCTGGGGGTCGTGCTGGTATGCGTCAAACTCTTAACTAGAGAACTCTGATCTGAAGGAGGAGTCTTAGAAGGGGGTCTGGGCTCGTGCTTTTTGTAAACTTTTATTAAAGTGTTCAGGGAGGGAAGCCCACCGGGCGCCCCAGGGGTCCTTTCTCAAACCCAGCCCCTCTGCAGCCCGCCAGAGCTGGAGGGCAGCAGAGCGCCTGTCCGAGCTCCTCCCGCCCTCCCACCTCCAGATTTGAGGGGAAGAAACTGAGGCTGGGGGAGAGCAGGGGAGGCCTGCTCGGGCGCCCGGGAAGTTGCTGGCCGAGCTTGGCCGAAGATACGAGGCCGGGCTGCGCCCTCGCTCGGCGGGGCGGTGGGGGAGGCGGCGTGGGGCCCGGACTGAGCAGAGCGCGCTCCCGGCGGACGCGGCGGCGGCGCCCGGCGCGAGGGTCCGGGATGGGCAGCCATCAGTCTTCTCAGGTCTGTGGCGTCGTCCCAGAGCTCAGTCTCCAGCACAGCCTTTAGCGGGAGGGCGGGGGCAGCCCCGGGGACGGCCTCGGCCGGGCTAGAAGAGCCCGTTGTGCGCAGGAAGTGCGATCCAGCTCCGGCCGCTCGCCGTCCCCGGGGTTCGCCGGAATCCGCAGGGTTAACAGGGGCTGGTGGGTCCCGGACGTAAGGAGGTGCCGTCCGGCACAGAGGGTCTTCACATCGCACGCGGGCGGGTCTGCGCCAGCGGCTCGGATCCCCGCAGGAGAACCGGGCGCGCCGGGGTTAATCCCTCGGGCCCAGAAGGGGGGGCAGACCCCGAACCCCAGGATCAGAGACAGCAGGGTCCCGGGCCAGGACCAGAGTGCCTGCTTCCGATGCCGTTCCCCTCGGGCTGCGTGAGCGCCGGCCGGGTACGAGGTTCCAACACTCTCTAGCGACTCAGCGCTCTTGCGCTGCCGGGCTCGGGAGGGACAGAGGGAGGGAACGGGGCAGCAGGGGTTAACGGCGGGCCGGGGAGCGGCGGGGGCCGCGGCTGCCCGAGAGTCGACGGGCACGGAGGGGCCCCTTTTCCAGCGAGACCGCTAGCCGCCCGGGCCGCTGCATCCTGCGTCCCCGACCCGTTCCCGGTTCCCGGTTCGGTCCGGGGGGCGTAACTCGGTGGCGGCCCGGGCGGGCTCACCTGTTACACGGCCGTGGCCCGGCGCGCCCACTGAGGCACGGTGGGTACGGGTTGGGGCGCGTGCGGGGCTGCCCACGGAACGGGCCGGCGGGGCGCCCAGCCGTGCGCTGACCCTTTCCTTTGCTCTCCGCAGGCCTCTGCCGCAGACATGGACAAACTCAGGTGAGTGCTGCGGGCGGGCTGGGGGTGAAGGGGAGAACGGGCCGGGGGTGCGGCGGGGTCCGGTGGGTGCGGGGTGGGCGCAGGTGACGGGCCGGGATGCGTGGATGGGCGCGGGACAGCGCTTGGGGCTCGGGGCGGCCGCTGCAGGGGCGTCATCGCGGGCCGGTCCCCGAAGCCCTCACGCGCTCGCCCCCCTGGGACCCCAGGACCCCGGTGATGCGTCCCCGCCGTTGAGCCGACAGTTGTCGCGGCCGCGGTGGCGAAGTTTTCGCCGATGGCGACGGGAGGGGATGGAGCCCGCGCGGCTACCCAGGCCCCGCATCTTGGAGCCATTTTGGGGGAACCCCGCGGCCGCGGCCCGGAGAGCCCCCAAGGCCTTCCCGCGCACCCCAATTTAGAGCGGGGGCCCGGGCTCCGAGGGGCCCGGCGCGCGGCAGACCCCGGACCAGCCCATTTGAATATTCTCGACTTATGACGATGTCGCCCTTACCTTCGGACCCCCCTTCCCCCCCCACAGTATTTTCCTCCCGAGCCAGGGCCCAGTCTATGTGGTCAGCAGGCCCAGCCCTTTGGTGCTGGGTTCGGGGCCCTCGCACCTAGCCTGAAGGGTCTTTTATCCTCCCTTGTCCAATACCAAAATTGTCAGTATGGAAAAAATTGGGTAAGAGGCCCCCAGTCCCTGAAGGGTAGAACCTGATCAGGCCTGGCCCAAGGTGGGGCCTGCCTCTAGGGGAGGGGCTGGGCCTTAGCAGCTGACCTTCAATACTGGTAAGTGGTCTCAGATACCCAGGTATCTGGAGACAAGAACAGAGGGGTCAGCAGATCCTGAGCTGGGAGGGGTCCAGACTCTTGGGACCTCAGAACAAAAACTGATGTGTCAGTGGGCCAAGGCCCACCTTGCATGGTCCAGGCCCAATTGGAGGCATCCAGGCCTAGGGAGCCATGTTCTGTCTGTGGTCATTGCAATGACCTCAAACCCAAACCCAGACTTCCTCCCCAGGCCAGACCCTCCCTGGTACCCCTCACTGACTGTTATTCATCACCACCCCCACACTGAGGCCTGGGGGGGGGGGAACACTGCTCAATCAACTGGGACTGGGGAAAAAATCAGAGATTTCCAGAAACATGATGGATTCCCTAAGGTTCCTTCCTCTCTCCCTGTCCTCATGCTCAGCCAAGGGTCTTGAGAGTGGTCTGAGTGTCGGTCTGGGGTCTGATCCACCTGATGGGGGACATAGGTAGGCAGATGTCCAGCCCTGGACTGAAAGGGGAGGGCTGGGAGCAGTGATTAGGACCTGGGGCCCTGGACTGGATCAATGACCTTCCAGACTAGGTGGGGTCTTGAAGATGGGATTCACTCTGCCTCCTGGAATTGGGGTGGGAAGGGTCCTATCCCCTGGGGTTGGGGAGGGCCCCATTCTTGTCAGCTGCTGGCCCTCCAGCTCTCTGCTTGCACAGCTTCCTCCAGAACGTTCCTCCCCTGATGGTATGGGTACTGAGAGCCATAATGGGTTTCTGTCTGGAGATTAGGGTTGTGCCTGAGGACCAAAAGAACCAGAGGCTAAGGATAAGGAAATCCAGTCACATGACCTCCTTTCAGGGTGGTCACAGGATTTGGGGTCCCACAGATCTAGCTTTTAGCAAAGCCTTCCCCTTGATATCGAGTTTCCTCAGCTGCAGAATGAATGTCCCTATCAAAGGATGTTAGGAGGGGGAAAGGGGTCTGGGGCCAGGAGCACACCAGGGGCCCAGACAGACTGTCCCCCTGCCAGGAGAGAATGTAACCTTCAAGTCCCAGACAAAAGGAATGGTATTTGTGGTTGAGTGAAGGGGTCCTGGTCATCCAGAGATAAGGTGGTAGGTATGAGCTTGGTTCTGCTTCCTGGGACAGGGAATGGGGACCTCTGTCTCTGCTGTAGCCTGGGCTTTGGACCTAGGCTCAGTTCTGGGAAGTCTAGCCTTGGCTCCACCCACTCCTCCGCCCACCCACTCCTGGCTTGAGCCTGGCTGGCTAACCTGCAAAAAGACATGAATAGCAGCCTTTTGTGAGCAGATAAGCTGCTGGGACCTCACTGCCTTCGCCCCTCTGCTGGACTCGCCCCCCACATCATGATCCCGACATGAAGCTCACAGCCCCATGGCCCTCTCTGCCCGGGGAAGCCTTTTCCTTACTCGGTTAGTACACAGCCAACTCAGGCTCAAATGAAGCCTCTTCACCAGGATTCTTACTCCATCTGAGCACCTGACAGTGCATTGGATGCTGAGAGGCAACCCAGCTGTCCAAAGCAGGCACACAGGACAGGGATAGGTGACAGTGAGGTCTGCCCAGGATGCTCCAAGTACCTCTCCTGAGGTATTGAAGGATGATTCTTAGGATGCCTGAACTAGGGCTCAGAATGACAAGTTAGACAACACCCCCCCCCAAGAGCGCAGGGACCTCCAGCCTTAGGAAGCAATGCCCGACAGAGGAGGGATGGGGACTGGAGGTCAGGGGGCTGTCCCAGACACTTGGAATGAAGTCTCTCTCCTCCCTAGTGTCACATGTGAGCACCCTGAGAACTAGGTTTGGCTACTCGCCCCAGTGCCAGGAAGGGACTTGCACACAGTAGGACTCCTTGGGCCCAGTGGCACATAGTGGGTGCACAGCCACACCTATTGATGACCTGGCCACGTGGCTGTAGCCCAGTATCTTCCCCCTCCCTGAGTCCTACACACCCCTGCTCAGCTACTCCACCCCCTGCTCAGCTACTCCACCCCTGCTCAGCCACTCTGCCTCCAGCTATCTGTAAGACTCTGGGTGACACTGCAGCATTGGGAAGTCCCTGCATCTCAGCTGCCTGATGTGTGGTGGCCATGGGCCCCTCTCTGCTGCCATCTTAGGCAGCACCCCCCCCCTTGAGCTGCAGTTTCTCCTCCATCCTGAGGTGCAGGGGGGGCTACTCAGCAACCCAGAGATTCCCTCACTGGGGACCACGCCTTCTGCCCAAAGCAAGTCCTTAAAGGGATAGTGCAGAAAAGCAACACAGAGCCAGTGATCAACTGCAAGACTAGCTGTGAAGTTAGAGCAAGCCTGGGGACCGCCTACCAGCTGCCAGCCACCACAAACCTCCGAGGTCCTTCCCCCAGTACAGCCCCCCCCCCTTCAGAGTTACCAGGACCCTGGCTTTGTAATACAGGCTCCTGGCTTTTGAATTCATGAGCAGCTCCACTGGGTCTCACTGGGACCCCCTCTGGGATTCATCTGTGTCACCCAGTGACTGGCCATCCCACTGAGCCACAGGCATTCCTTAGTGATTGGATCAAGGTAAGCAGAGCTGCTGTGACCATCCGTGGACAAGTGCCCTGGGTATGCCCAAGTCCCCACCAACTTTGCCCAGCAGATGTGGGCATGGGGTCCTCCCTAGCCGGATTCCTGTCATTTGATGTCCCTCTTGGGTGCCATCTGCAGGCGCTTTCCCCAGGGATCCCACTGTGACTTCGGATTGTGGGAAATCTTTATACAGCCGACTCCAGCAGGCCGGTGCCTCCTGCCACTGTGCACTGCTCACCGTGGTCCTTGGGTAGATGGGACTTGGTGGCTTCGGCGCTGTGGCTCAGACTGGGCTACTGGGATGGCCTTGGGGCGTCACGGTGCTGGCAGGCACTCCACCACTGAGCGAGCCCAGCCTGCTCCTGTTTTCCTACTGAAGTCTTCTGTGTGCTGCTAATGGATTTCCAGGTGCCCTGCACGGCCTTCCTCTCCTTGAACTTGGTCCCCGTGTCCCGAGGCCAGCATTATTTTCACACAGACCTGCTCTTGCATTTTCCCACAGTTTGGTCTGTTCACTTCACGGTTTCTCAACCAGCCGCACACAAACCAGGCTGTTTTTACTGCTGGGGCAGTGGAGGGTGGGGGAGCAGCCACTGGCTCCAGATAAACAAGTGGCTGTCAGGCAGCCTTATGCCTGTCTCAGCGCCCCCTTCAGGACAACAAGGGTACTTTTCCTAAAGCCAAAGCTGAGGACGCATAAGGCAAGCCTCCAGACCTCTGCTCCTCAGCCCCCCCGCGCTCCCCTGCAGCCCCCACCCCACCCCTGACTTGGCACATCTGCCCTCATGCACTGGATCTGCCCTGCCCTGGAGGCCTAGCCTTAGTCCTCTGACTTGTCACTTAGACTTTAGTTTGCTCGTTGATCACAGGCTCAACTCACTTATTAAGCACCACTGTTTACCAAGGGCATTTTAGTCAAAGGAGAATATAGAAAAAAACCCTGCAGTTAATGGAGACAGAGACCTTTTCTAAGCAAGTAGAATTTGCAAGCGCTTTGGGGACAGAGATGGGGCGGGCGGGGCAGTTGTGCAAGCCTGAAAACAGCAGGGAGGCAGGAGATAACCGCTGCAAGGGCCGGGTAGGGATGATGGGGATGGGGGTCCAGGGGTAGAGGTGGCCCCAGAGATGGGTTCTGGGTGCATAGGGGGTCCATGAAGCCGAAGCTGCCGATGAGAGGGCTGCAGTAAGACAAGCAAGAGCTGGGCCTGAGCTCCTGACAGACGTGATGGGGACAGCCGTGGGCAAGTCTGTGCTCTGGGGGTATGTGGGCTTGGGGCTCCTTGCATGTGGGGGTGTCTCCCCGCATTAGACCCCTACTCAAGCCCATCTACCCACTACGCCAACTGGCCAAGCCTCTCACCAGATGAGGTTCTTCAAGGCTCCCACCTCTACTTCTAAATCTGATGCTCCTAGAAGAGGTCTAATTCTCACTAAGGTGTGAGTGACTACCTCCTCTTGAATTCTTCCTTTAGGGGTCAGACCATTGTAAAGGGTCCTGGCACATGTATTTCCCACTCTGTTTCCCAGCCCGTCTGGGACCCTGCTCTGCCAGTCCTCCTTCATGGAGCATGCCATTTTATGAAAGCGGGGTCGCCTCCCTAGCTTGAAGGCCAGTTCTCTATTTAGTGGCTGTGTGGCCTTGAGTAAATGTCTGACCCTCTCTGATTCTCTGATAATGGTGCTTGCTTTG